TACTGTTTGTGTTCTCTCGGTGCGGATTAATAAGATATTTTGGAGGGGCCGGCCATATATGTGAAATCTAGGGTTGCCAAGCAAATAAAAAGCTTCAACTAGCTATGGAAAAACTTGCATTATTTAACTCTCTAGAACCAAACAGTTGCGTGTGATGAGTTTTTATTTTGTTCTAGAGATGGATATCTTGTTACTCCCTTGGATGTATTTGCTGTGAACAATTGGAAAAATACCAAAACTCAAATACCGGATGAGCTGACAATCTTTTCTTGTGCTTGGTTGACCGTTGCCATAAAAAAGGCAGAATCTGGCAGCTCTTGGGCTTCCTCAAAGGAGGAGAGAACCATATGAAGTAGGGAGCTTTCTCCGGTGCCAGAAGTGGTTCCTCCATTGTGACTAAGACATGGTGAGACCCTGGGAAGAGCTTGGTGCTTAGATAAAATTGTTTGTGTTGCATCTGTTCAGGATAAATAATGCAATTTCAAAGCTACTCATGTGATTTTCTTGTGAGGGCAATGATTTGGTAGATTTTGCAGAACAGAAAAATAAATGAAGTCAATACCTTTATAAAATAACCGTGTAATAAGCTAGGCAAAAGGAGGGGAGGAATGTTCTGCAGATTTTGCTTTATTATATCACTCACATGCAGAAAATAAACTCTACCTCTCATGTTTTGGAGGAAGAGTTGTAGACCATCTGCAGAATATTCCTCCATTGGTAGATGTCAAAGCTTGCCTGGAAGCCGTCAGCCTAAGGAGAGGCAAAAGAGAGGGATGGCTCCCAGGTCAATCTTCTGCTGTCCGGGTCGCCAGCCTGAAGTTTCTTTTCTTGTCCTGTTTCTGTCTGTAGGCCAGTTCTTTGAAGATTTATCTGGATGGAAGAGAGGGTATTGATTGGCATCAGGATAAGCATAGGTCTGAGCAACTAATCGGTAGTTTGAGCTTATCTGATGCTAAATCGAGCAGTGACTTTCTTGCTGCTTGGTAAGCCTGCTCTTTTGGAAGCATTTCTCTTCAGTAAGAGCACAAAATACTGGCAATAGCCCTCCACAGTTTTAAGCTGTTGCTACAAGCTGTCACCTAGATTAGCTGGCAAACGAATGTTTAAACCTGCAAATGACTTTGACATAACCCCGTCTCTAACCATGGTTTCCTGCATGTGAAATTTTGCCAAGTATTGTACTGATAAGCTGAGGGGTTGGGGGATCACCAGGTTCCCAGGCACCAAATGCCTGCCTGCGTTTGCTGGGGGAGTTTTAGGTTGGCTTTTTGTCGGTCTACAGTATTTTTTTTTCCCTAAAAGAAAGAATGTGCATGAGAAAATAAATTTTCTGAAATATATGCTAAGAGATCATTGACGTCCGTTCTTCTGCCTTCTGGTTTTCATTAGTTAAACTCCTTTTAAAATTAGGATTTGTTTGTTTTTGAAAAGTTTCTATGTATTTTTAGCTGGCAGTGGATCACTGCCAACACCCTATGATCTCCATGTGATCTTTTTTTTTTTTTTTTTAAACTATAGAGGAAAAGCAAAAGGCATTGGCAGGTGGCTCAGAGCTTCTAAACCAATAGCTTGTGGTGTTATGCTTGGATACAAAAAGAAGAGCAGCTAAATATAACAGCTTAAATAAAAGACGCTGATGTTACTAGTTTCAGATAACTACTTGTAAAGTGTAACATTTGGAAAGCATCATACTGAGCTGTCCAGAATGACTAATTTGACAAGAATGTTTTTTTCCCCCCATGTGGTTTATCTCACTGTAAGCTAGTAAGTCATTAGTTTTTTGGACTCTTAAGCCAGACTCCCAAATCCTATTGTTTCCCTTTGTATGTATGGTGTAATCGCTAGTTGGGGCAGAAGGTTCAGACCAGGCTCTGAAAGAGAAACCAGTTACACTGTAATGCACTTACCAGTTACACTGTAATGCACTTCACCTGTCACTATCTGTAATGTCACCTTTTACAACAGCAGTAGCCTTATTTTCCCATTACTCTCATCTGTTGCGGCCATTTTGCATTTTCACTAGGGCAAGCTTCAGCTGCCCTTTTTGAAAGCATATTTTGAATCTTTGTAAACGTACACATTAACAAAATTTACTTCAGTTAAAGTAATTATCTGAGACCACAGCACAAAAAGTCCAACCAAATCTAGTCTCATTAAATTAATCATGACATTACTAGGACTCATCTTTTATACTTAATTTTTATTAATAGATTGGAAGATGGAAAACAAACATGTCAGTGGCTTCACAAGTTCAGATTAAATAGCTCAAAAGCGGGAATGTTTCTGAATCTTCTATCTAATGAGAAACCAAAAGCAGTTAAGGCAGGAGTACAGTGAACAAAAAATAGTGAATTTGGAGAGAAATATTTACGTCCTCCGTTGCAAAAACTGCCAAATACCTATCACTAAATTTTATTTGTGGCCTATCTTTTATGTCATCTGTTTCCCTCTAGATCCATATGCAATTATGTTGCTGCATTTTAAAATTGTTTTGATTTTTATTGCTTTTGCTGTTTTAATGTATTGCAATAGATAACAGTAAATTTAAGAGTTATCAGAGACTTGTAATTCAATTTAAAATTTCGGCAGACTTATTTTCAGAAGAAAAATGCATTCAATAGTTCTGAAGACTTCATTTTATATAGTCAGTTTAAAACCGTTCTCTATCGTTAACAACTGTGTTTTGCCTTTTTTTCTTTAATTTTAAAATAGTTGTATATTAATTCAAGTAAGGATGGGGAAAGCTCTTCTCTCCCTCTTGTTACGGTCCTGTTTGAGAACCAGGCTCATTAGCTAATGGTTGGTCCTGTTCCCAATATTTGGTGTAGCTGTGATATGAAGGGCTAGGACTTTATCCTTATGATATCCTTATGATCAAGAGTAACTTTAATTTCAGTGGCAGGAGTGAATATACAAAAACACAAGAATAATGCATGTAGTTCTAGGACTAGATGATTTTAATGAAAAGTTTCATACAATTTCTAGTTTAAAAGCACCCATCTTACAAACAGCAAAAGTCCTTTGAGCTTTTAAGTTAATTTGCAAAGCTCCTTTAATATAGAAATTAACAATATCTTTTATTTGACTTCAGTTTATTGGTTTGTAAACCTGAAGACTGTGAACTTTATGAAAGAAGATCCTTTAATTTTATGTATACCTATTCAGATGCACAGTTGCCATGGCACAAGCTTGTAGTGAAACTTTTTATCCTCTGACGTAAACCAGTATGATGTTTTCAACATTATGTATGTGATACTGTTAGTCAGAAATATGAAAAAATTGCAAATACTAACTGAATTTAGCTGATTGGATGCTTTCAAGGTCCTAAAGCACAGACACTTTAATATGACATCCTAAACTTTCTGCAGGGACCCGGTTCCAGGCCTGCAAATGGATTTTTGTAATTAAATTTGTTAAGGGTTCATGACTCCATCTGAGTTGCAACCCATTGCTTGGGAACAGCTGCTTTAATTTCTAGCTATTCATTTTAAGGCCTTCTCTTCAATTGTTTTGTACAATGCCTTACTGTGAATAGAGTATTGTATAACATCCATCATCAAATATCAGAGTGGATCAGGAATTGCTAAAAAAAACTCACGTTAAGTTCCTTATGAACCCAAGTAGAGGCATTTTGAAGGTAGTGGTGTGGCTATATTGCAGGATAGGTAGAACTGTGTACTGTCTGTATGTTAGTGGTGTTTACATGTATATATGTCATGTGGACAATTTGCCATATGGGATTCTACTGTTAATGATAGAGGGGGAGTTAAGTGCTAATATAAATGGCATGTGAACACCATAATTTTTTATGAAAAACAACTCTTCCCCAGGCAGGTTTGACTACTCTTGAATGAGAAAATTTTCATATAAACTTGTTTATCAAGTTTTGCTGTTGAAACTGTTCACACATTGCCAGCTTTCTGAAATTGAAACTCTCTGATGTAAATCTTTCTTCATTAACTAACTTCTATAGATTTTTATATTGAATCAATACATTTAATATATTTCTGTGTATTCAGGATGGACTTTGAGGAAGATGTAAAAATATAAAATATAGGTGGTCTTGGCCTCCAGATATGACTTCTCTTAAGTTTATTATTTGATGGCAACTATTTTGAGATGTATGTATTGTGGCCATTTATTAGTTGCTCTAAGTAGGTATACCGAATCCAGTAAGATATGTACAACTTAGAATTTGTCACCTGAATATGGTTTAGCCTAAATGACATTCTAGACAGAAATAAATTCAACTAAATAACAGAGTCAGATATTTTCGATTTTTGCCTGATTCATTCTGTGTTGCATTGTTTATAGGATAGTTTGAAAATTTAAAATTAACAGAGAAGAAAACTTTTCCTCTCTACCAGAAGTGTTTGGTTTCCTCTTCCTTAACAAACTGTTTTCTGCTTTTTTAAATGTAGCCCCATCCCAGTGTGACCAAAGGTATGGAAAAAATTTAATTAATTTACACTCCCTCTGCTGGCTTTATGCCTGTGCAACATAGATCTATCCCACACCACAAAATACCCATACCTGCAAGTGTTTTATATAAAATGAGTTTTTGGGACTTTGGAGAAAGTTTTATCTGCAAGATCCAGATCTGAGCAGTGAGTAGTGGCACTTCTGAAGTAACTTCTCGATATGAGTGGGAGCTTTTAGATAGGGACCAGAAGTGACTATTTGTGAAAACTTTGAAACAGCGTACCCAGTTCTGGATAACAGATCCAATCTGTTAATATCAGTAGAATACAGGAGAGCGGTGCCATCAACAGTACTATGCACTTGGACCAAAAAATTGTTTCGTGTTGTGCCTATGTTTCCTGAAAATCTTCCTTTTAGTACAGTGCAGAAAAGAACTGAGATGATAAAGTTATTCAGAAATAATTGAAGGAATCCCAGTTTGTATCAAAATGAAGTGCAAAAACTTATGCTTGGGAACGTTGTCTTGATAGAGAGCATTCAAGAACTATTATATATTCTTCTGTTTGTTTGTTTTTAAGCTGGACCTGTGATCTGCAGAATGTTAACATACCCTCCAACTCGAAGAGCCTTAATTGTGGGTTGTGGTCTGCAGATGTTTCAACAACTGTCAGGGATTAACACCGTCATGTATGTATTTATTACTTTCTTCTCTTTTTTAAAATGTAAAAGCAGACAGTTGACCAATAGCAATTGTTTATGGCCATCCAGACAAAATCTGAAATGAGAACAATGGGGGTGTGTGAGGTGGAGTGCCTAGTTTTAAATCTGCGTTTTGACTTATTAGGCATCTCAGGAGATTGATGCTAACCCAAGGATAGGCGTTTATGTAAAGATGAAAATACAGACTGTAGTCTGGGAGGTGTGATACTATATATTAGAGTTTACAGTCAAAGGTATGTATGGTAGGTCTAGATCAGAAAGCACTCCCATTGATTGGATTTGTGTGAAAATAAGTCAAAATACAGGAGACGCTGGCCTGTTGACCATATAAAGAAGGTGGAAAATTACTATGAAGTCCTTAAGGAGGTAAAAGATGCCAAGAAAGAAGATGCCAATATTATATGCTTCCATTACCTGTAGGAGGACTGAGTAAGTGTAGAGATGAAGTCAATTTATTGGGTTTTTTTGTAAGTTGTCACCTACCAAGGTAAGTAGTTCTTGGTAAATGTGCAGTGCACAAGAGCTAGTTTAAGATGAAGTTACTGTTGATCCAGCCTACAAGAGTAACCATAATAAATGTAATTTCCATATTGTTTAAGAGCAAACGTAACTATTACAGTAACACCTCGTGGAGGGTTTTACATCTAAACAAGACAGCTTGTGGAAAACTAGTTAAAAGGAGCAGCTAAAATCATTGAATTTGGAACTTTTAGCGTGTAACCTGTTGTTTAGATTGTCTGGGTATCAGAGGAGTAACATAATCTCCATCGGGGAGAGGGAGGAGGAGTGTTGCATTGAGCTATGACACAGAAAGTTTGAATCCTGTGCTGATCAAAATTAGTTGAAGTTGTCATAGAATAACATGAGGAGTGTGGTTACACATATGAAAAATGAATGTACAGATGGAGAACATAAAATTATTGTAAAGAAGAGCCAGCAGGTCTGTTGTAGAGACATTATAGCTTCAAATCCGTTGGAAATGTTTGAGTTTATAGGCACACTAGAACCATATGAACTAATCATCCTAGCTCATGACAGGTGTTGCCAAAGTTTCCTGAAGAAAGTGGACAGTCACAAAAGAAAGAGAGGAGTCCTCTCATGGCTTAATAGCTTGTTAAGATATGACATAAAGGGTAAGAAAAAATGATCTCTCTTCACAATGGAAGAAAGCCAACAGTAGAATCCTACAGGCATCTAAGCAGAGAGCTTTGCTGTCCAATTAATAAATAATCTGTGGAAGGAGCTAAACAGGAGAGAAACAGCTCATGCTTATATACGATTTAGGAGATCAAAGCCCCCAAATTTTTGATAATGAAGAGTTATGGGAATATAATGCCAAATGAAAAATGACTGAACTGGCCTTTACATTGAATATGCAGTAATGCTTGTGGGAGTGAACTGGACTCTTAAATAATGTGCATGGAGGTCTAAATTAACTGTTACTACTGAAGAAGGAGATCTTGGAGTTGTGGCTGGTTCTGTACAAATGCAGTGATGACAGCAGTGACCAGTCTGGAATAGTGCAAAAAATGTAGAAATCCTGTCTTTAAAAAGTGTAAACCAGCTTGTGTATGAAAAGAGATGTGCCTGTACATGAACAAATTTGTGAGGACTCTTCAGCTTGGAAAAGGAGCGAGTACAGAAGAAATGGGAGAGACATGTAAAACTACTAATAGCATGGAAGAGATGGGGAGGGTGTAATTATTTATTATTTCTTATAACACAATTTCTTAGCCTGTATTAGGTTTAAAATAAACAGAAGGAAACATTTCTTCAAGCAGTGCATAACTACACTGGAAATCATAGCCACAGGATGTTAAGGATGCCGGAAGTACAAATAAGTTTAGAAATTAATTAGGAAGCCGGAAGTACAAATAAGTTTAGAAATTAATTAGGAAAACTCACATAATAAAAATTATTAAAGTATTATTAAACAGGCTGTGGATACAACCTTTGGCCTAGGAGAGCCATTCTCACATTCTGGTTCTTCTTTAGGAAGTCTTACTGCGACAGAACAAAAAATGAACAGTTCACAAGGTTTATGACACTGGTAGGCTGACTTTGCTTATCTTAAACTTCAGATGCTTTAAAATTTCAAACCCCTTACTACGTAGGATGGTTTAGAAACAGTTTGGAATTGACTTAATTGCTTCTGTACAACTATAGTTGTTACAACTATAAAATATAGGTGAATCTTAGCTTTAAAATACGAAAATCCCTATAATAAACACATGAAGGCACTGTTGTTAAAGGACTGACTTGTAAACAATTTGCAACATCCAGTATTTTAATAATCCAGTATAACTGAATTTTTAGCTATCAGGTTCTGCAAGATAACGGTTTCCTATAAAGGGAAGTTTTTGAAATACAAGGAAGCAGTTGTCTGTTGATGGGTTGCTTACATACAAATTCACAGAATCACAAAACGGTTGAGGTTAGAAGGACCTCTGGAGATCATCTAGTCCAACCCTCCTGCTCAGGCAGGGTCCCCTAGAGCATGTTGCCCAGGACCGTGTCCAGACAACTTTTGAATATATCGAGGGAGGGAGACTCCACTACCTCTCTGGGCAACCTGTTCCAATGCTCTGTCACTCTCACAGTGAAGAAGTTTTTTCTCAGGTTCAGATGGAACTTCCTGTGTTTCCGTTTGTGCCTGTTGCCTCTTGTCCTGTCGCTGGGCACCACGGAGAAGAGACTGGCCTAACCCTCTCGACATCCCCCCTCTTCAGATACTTGTACACATTGATGAGATCGCCTCTCAGTCTTCACTTCTCCAGGCTGAACAGGCCCAGCTCCCTCAGCCTTTCCTCATTTGAGAAGATGCTCCAGTCCCTTCATCATCTTCGTACTCCTTTGCTGGACTCTCTCCAGGAGCTCCGTGTCTCTCTTGTACTGGGGAGCCCAGCACTGGACACAGTACTCCAGGTGAGGCCTCCCCAGGGCTGAGGAGAGGGGCAGGATCACCTCCCTCCACCTGCTGGCAACACTCTGCCT